AATATAATGATTTGAATTGAGATGAAATAAATAAAATAAAATTGAGGAAATTAAAAGAGGGGAGAAGCCATGTAGAAAATGTAAAATTGTAATAAGATATGGAATAGAATATAAAAATGAGCACGAACCTGAATTTGTGTCTGTACGAAGAAATGTAACCCGGGATTGTGCTGCTTTCAAAAAAAAAATGTTTTATGTTTTTATGTTTTGTTCATGTTTGTTTTTAAAAATCAATAAAAAAAATTTTTTTAAAAAAAGAAAGAGAGTGTGCCGGTTCGGTGAGAACTTTTTCTTTATTCTAAGATCTGAAAGGACACCCTAAGGAAAAGAAAGAATCTGTAAAAGTTTTGACAGAAGTGATTAAGCGGCGATTTTAAACAGGAATGTCAAAGTAATGTTTTTTTCTCATTGCTGGATTTTCTATACATGATCTTATATTTTGAAACTGGACTGGTTTTTTCTTTTCCATCTATTTTTTTTTCTCCTTTTTGATTTTGTAACATTTTAGGCTAGAGACTCCCTTTTAGTTATTTCTTTTTTTAAAATATCTTTTTCTTTTTTTTATTAATTCTTATTATATTTTGCTTGGAAAAGGAGGGGGAAAGTGAAAGCAAAGAAACTTTGTAACACTGCCAACTAGAGGCTTGGAAATATTCTATTTCTCTTGTGACCAGACAAAGCTGAGAAAGAAAGAACTGAGACTTTTTTTCAAGGACATTGCTATTTGATAAGATAGAGGGAAGAGCATGGGAGAGTATTATTGCAGGTCCTCTTCTGGGTTTCTATCAACAGCTGGAGTCTGGTGTTGAAGTTTATAGAAAAAGAAAAGGTGATAAGTTTCTGGAGAAGAGTGTTATAACAAGAGCCTTGGATAACTAAACAAAGTGCAGTGTGTTCTCTTGATTTTTCCTAAGCTGTGCTACCCCTCCTCAACAGTTTACTTTTTGAAATAGCTATTTGGATTTTTAGTTCTTTGGAACTTGTCTTTGCTTTTTTTTTTTTGCTTGTCTTTGGAAGTTAAATTTTTACATTTGCTTTTTATTTTAAAAGAAAAGTTTTAGTATTAATGATTCCCTTCCTTTTCTTTTTACGGGAGTAGCCTTTTTTTCTTTTTCTCTTTCTGCCTTTCTGGTACTTTTGTTTTTTCATCTACCTCCAATACTGTTTTTTTCTTTTTTCTTTTTTTTTATCTTCCTGGCTTTTTCTTTTTCTTTTTCTCTTATGCAGCCTTTTATATTTGAGACCTCTTAATTGGATTAAGGTGTTGAAGAACCTGAAGAATTTTTCCTTTTTCTTTAGCTTTTTATTTCTCAGTTTTTCATCTTTTTTAGGATTTTACAACTTTTTCTCTTTTGTGTATGTTTATAGTTTTTCCTTCATTTTTGAATTTTCATTGTTATCTAACTAATCCATTGGATTAAGGCATATAAGAACCTGAAGAAATTCTTTTTTCTTTTTTTATTATTATTACTATTTGGCTTCTTTTTCCCTACTATTTTTAAATAAAATTGTGTTGAAATATATATGGCAAGGTAAGAAAGCGAGAATAAAGTTAAAACTTTTGCAAGATGCTAGAATAAGAGGAGGATTTGGTTTGCCTAATTGGGAGTTCTATTACCAAGCTACAAATTTGATGTGGGTTAAGGAATGGATAACATTAAGAAATACTAGGTTGTTGACATTAGAAGGACATGATCTGTTCTTGGGGTGGCATGCTTTTTTATGGTATAAAGGAACTAAAACACAGGGGTACTTTAGAAGACATTATATACGGGAGTCTCTGTGGTTAAACTGGGAGAAGATTAAAAGACAATGTTATTTGAAAATTCCAGTCTGGCTATCGACTATTGAAGCATTTTCTTATCCTATAATATACAAAAAGGAACAAACAGTTAGATATGGTGAAATATTGAATGAAAAGGGTGAACTTAAATCTATAGAAAAACTAGAGGAACAAGGTATAAAGATGAATTGGTTTTCATATGCGCAAATACATTCAAGGTATGATAAAGATTCTAAAACAGAAGGTTTCTATGATAAACTGACTGATTTAGATAAGATTTTGACAGGTACTGATGAAAAGGTGATTAAAAAATTGTATGGATATTTATTAGAAATTAAACTAGAAGAAGAACAAGTTAAAGAAACTATGATTGCTTGGGGGAAGAATTTTCAATATGGGATCGATTTAGAGAAATGGCAAAAATTGTGGTCTCAAAATTATAAAATGACAATGTCAACAGCATATAAAGAAAATTTGTATAAGATGTTTTACAGGTGGCATTTCCCCCCGACAAGAATAGCAAGAATGTTCAAGAATAAATCCAAAAAATGTTGGAAATGTCATCAGACACTTGGCTTATATTACCATATGGGGTGGATTTGTGTGGATGCTAAAAAATACTGGACTTAAATCCACACGTGATTGGAAAAAATGACAAAAAAACCATATAGATTTGAAACCAGAGATATTTTTATTGGGAATTTTACCTGAAATATATAGTAAAGACTTGAAATACCTGATTGTAAATGTATTAACAGCGGCTAGGATTGTATTTGCTAAAAACTGGAAAAATGAGAAAACACCATCACAGGAGAAAATCATTAAGAAAATATTGGAATGTGCTGAAGTGAGCAGATTGACATTTGAAATTAGAGAACAGGATGATAAACAATTTTATAAAATTTGGGATCTATTCTATCAATGGTTAGACAATAAAGTATAGTAACAAAATATGTAGACTTTTAGAAAATACTAAATATATAAAGATGTATTCTTTCCTTATTATATCTACAAAATGTTTTTAGGATAGATTTGGGATGATAATATGAATTGTCACAAAACAAATTAAGTAAAATATGATTATTTCCTAAAGCATGAATGAATAAAAGTATAGTCAAATGTTTGATTAATAATGATACCAATGTATTTAATATTGGATTGAAAATACGAGAACATATACAATGTAATTGTAATTGAAGACTACGAAATGGAAGCACAAAACAATTTGTAAACCAACCGGCACACTGTATGTACATATATGGAAGATGGCCTGATGTTTTTATGGTTTGTTTGTTTATGTTTGTTTTAAAAACCAATAAAAATTAAAAAAAATAAAAAATAAAAACAATAAAAAATAAAAAAAATGGAAAATGTTGTGGATGAATATGTTATGTTATGGATGAATATGTTATTTTTTTTACTTTGCTTGTATAGAAGTGTCTGATTTTTTTTATATAGAAAACTGGATTGGAAGCTGTTAATTTCTATCAACAAATGTCTCATTGATATGATGAATAAGAAGTAGTTTGTTGTCAATTGAAAATACCATAGGCAAATTAGGAAATTCTGTTTCTGTTTCTTGGATTCTTTTGATATAAAAGGGAGGAGGTTTCACTTCACTAGAGGACTAGCGAGCAGGTATCTTTTCCACTTGGAATCAACTCTTAAGAGTGTTCATCCTTTTCAGGAGCTATTTCAAACTGGAGGAAAAGCTGTGACTCTATGCACAATTGTCTCCTGTGATGATCCATGTAAGCCACAGGATGAAATGTTTCTTAATTTGTGAAGACTTACCAGGTATTAGAGCAGATCTTTCTCAACTCAGCAGTAAGAACTATAGCAGAGTTTCTCAATCTTGGCAACTTTAAGATGTATGGACTTCAACTCCCAAAATTCCCTAACCATTCGTCTTGCTGGCTGAGGAATTCTGGGAGTTGAAGTTCACACATCTTATTGGAAGTCCATAAGCAAGTAGTATCAGTGGTTGCCCCATCCTTATGGAATAGTCTCCCTGAAAGATCGAGGCCAGGATGTCAAATTGGATTTCTCTGAGGGCCAGATCAGCATTGTCATTCTCCTCTGCAGGCTGGCCGGGAGAGGGAGATAGGATGGACGCCTCTTGCAACACCCTGCCAGCCAAAACAGGGGACTGGGGGGGGGGTGCATGAGGCCCTCCTGCCCCCCCTTTTTTGGCCTGGACAGCCTGCAGCACTCTGTTGGTCAAAATGAGGTACGGGGGGCATGTGAGGCCCCCCCATGCCCCATTTTTGGCCTGGACAGCCTCCTGTAGCATCCTGCTGGCTAAAACAGAGTGTGCCCTGTGACCAGTTTTGGCTGCCAGAGGCACTGTGGGCTGGTCCTTTGCTATTTCCAGGCTGACCCTGTGGACCAAATTTAAGCACCCTGCAGGCCAGATTCGGATTCCGCCTGCAGGCCTTGAGTTTGACACCCCTGATCAAGGCAGTCCCCTAATTAAATTTTAGGTGGGCAATGAAGGCTGGTTCTGCTAAATGTTTGGGATTTAAATTGCTTGCTAACTAGATCATTCTTCTAGTGCCGTGATGGTGAGCTTATGGTACGCGTGCCAGAGATGGCACACAGAGGCCTGTCTGTGGGCACGCGCGCCGTCGCCAGCTGCTCTTCTGGTTTTTGGCTGCTAACATGCACGCTGTCCAGGTAGTCTTCACAAGCACCGAAGTGCCAGAAAACAGCCCAAAAAACAGCCTGAAAATGGCTCAAGAAATGGCCTGAAAACGGCCTGGAAAACAGCCTTAAAAACGGCAAAACATAGCCAACAAACAGGCATGTATGCGCCGGCCAGCTGGTCTTCGGGTTTCTGGCACTTCGGTGCACGCACATACACATGCATGCATGCATGCGCGTTCCGGTTTGGGCACTCGGTACCAAAAAGGTTCACCATCACTGTTCTAGTGTGATGGAGAATTTTTTTTTTAATTATGTGTGATCTGGATTTTTCCATTTTGGTCTTTTTAACTTGATTTTATGGAATTCTTTTGTACGTTTGTGGTGGTTAATTTTTCCATTTCAACTCTATGCATTTGTGATTGTGAACTACTAGAGTCATTCAGATATGATGGATTATAACTTCTATAAATAAATAACAGAGAAAATGTATGATTATTGAATTTCAATGGTATATAAGCTGATGTGGACAAAAATGTCACATATTTATCAAGTGTACCTTTTCTTTCTTTAGCTTCATGAACAGGCAGTACCCACCATTCATGTTGATGCTTTCCTTTATGATGATGACTGTGTTGACTCTTTATGTGAAGAAGGAAAGATGAGCAGAAATTATTGTCTAGCATGTGGCTCTCATCAGACAGCACCATTAGGTAAGCAGTTATGTATTGTATTTTTTTTTTAATCAAACTACAGCACTAGTACAGGAATGTTCCCTTCCTGTACATCAAGCCAATCATTTTGGGCTGGAGTTTGAGTGCTTATATAACATAAATATTATGAGGTCTTGCTTGTTTAAAAAATAGTTCCTATGACAGCTGAGCCATGCACAAAGCATCTTTTGATTACAAGGCAGCTGATGAAGTTGCTTCTCAATAAACAAGTACTTCTCACTCTCCAGAAAGCTTTGTAGCAATTTATTGTAAAAATATTGCATATTTTTAATCATGTAGTAAAAAGGCACTACATCTCTTTTATTTCCTTCGAATGCTGAAAGACTATGCGATATGTTTTTACCTTATGATTTGCACGAATTCAATTATGTTTTAGGTTCTCAGTATAAAATCTAAAAGAGAGTGTGGTCACTATGACACAAATCCCAATAAGTGCCAAAGGCAATATCAGTGGGTACATTAGTACCTGCATGTGCTAAGATACATGTTCATGATTCAATGACTAAAGAGATTCTCAGCCGTTCAGGTCATGGTTGTCCCAAAGGTGCTTATTCAAAAGGCAATTGGACCTTCTGGTTTTTCTTTTCTGGTTTGAAGCTGAAGAAACTTCTTGGATGAAAAGCGAAACGTCTTCAAAGAAAAAGCAGAAAAGAAAAGCAGAAAATCTGGCTGTTTCTTGAAAAAGCTTTGGGTCATGATCCAGTGTTTGTTCCTAAATCAAGGATGCAGCTTCTCATCAGTGTTCAGTCGTACTTGAGTGAATTCCCGTAAGTTCTGGAAGTGTCTACCAATTATTAATTTATAAGAAATTCACAATCTTAAAATTAATTAGGATATTTGGGTATGGAGGAAATTCTTGGGGAGTGCATCATAAGGGATAGTGATACTTTCCTTTTCCTTCTGCATTAAGTATATTCAGTCTAAAATCTATATTGCATGTGGTTCAGTCTTCATTCTTTAAAAAAGTAAAGAAACATATTGATTATGCTTTAGGACTGGTTTTTTCACTGAACTCAGAGAATTTATTGCTCTTGCTATTGTTATGGTGTTATTTTTGTATTTTTTGTATGTTTTATTAGTTTATTTTACCAGATCTGGAGGTTGCCTTCGATGAAAGATTATTATGTATGTTCACTGCCTTGGGTTACTTTTAAGGTAATAAAGGTGGGATAAAGTCTAATAAATAAAGTCCTCTCCATATTTATAGGGTATGAAGTTATACGTTCAGAAATATTTATATATGTACTACACAACTTTTGCTTAAGTAATACTGTTTTAATGCTTGCAAATTGCCACAAAGACAGTGCCCTTCAGAAGCCATTAGTATTACATTCATTTATTTTTATGTTTCAGATATAAATAAAAGTTTTAGCAGTTCAAAGTAGTTTACATTAAAATATTAGAGAAGTATATATTAAAATCATATAAGCACTTTGAAAATTACTTAGAACTGTTTTGGATCTGACTTGAGTTCAATTCAGGTAAAGTCTCCACTTTTATTAAAACAACATCTTTCTTCAGACTTTCACATAAGCCTGGAAAGAAATTTGCATCTCTAAATATGATGCAACTTTTTAAAGTTTGGGATGAAAAAAGATAAACTGCTTTCATAAACAGCAGAAAAATATCATGTATGTAATCCAAAAAATTTTTCCAAAATATTTTCAAATATGCCTTTTTTTTCTGAATGATTATGAATTAAGAAATTGTGGTGATAATCTATTTTCAAATGTCCAAATGACAGGTTAATTAGTTCCCAGAATTGTTAGATATGAACATGTTGCAATCTGGAATGTTTTTCAGAGTCAGCATGCTAAATCTTGTTATGTTCACTTAATACAATGCAAGGAGAGAAAAAAATAAAATCCAGGCTTTGCCATTAGCATGATGGTCCCCAAAATAGAATGAGCAAAGATGCTGTCTTTGCAAGATTCTAGCTACTCAAAGAACCATCTCCATAATGTATTCCATTTAAATGCATATAGATTGTTCAGTTTTCAACTGTATCTGTATGATGCTAGTAGATGCTAAACAGATCCATATACTAGATATGGCAAATCCCTTTCAGGTCACATGTAGCCATTACTTTTTCAAAATTGCAGCAGAAATGTATAATATTCAAATTAGGCTTGGCAATATTTTTATCACTGCCCAAATCGAAAATTTAATCCAAGTTCTTATAATCTTGTGTTTCATGCTGGATGCTAACCATGGCTGCAACGTGCTTTGTTTTATTGTTGTTTCCCAGAATTCATTTCCCATTCTTTTTCCCTCGTGGAACTGAAGTTCCTGTACCAGGAAGTATTGCCTGACCTGACAGGGAAGGTTCTGGTTGACGTGGGCTCCAGGCTTGGAGCAGTCCTGTTTGGGGTAAAAACTACACCAGAAATTGGTTGACAATGTCTGTGCTCCCCCCCTCTCTCCTTTTGCTGGTAGTCACTGTTTTATGTTGTACAATATTACTTAAGCAAGTTTTTGGTTGCTATTTTTTGAATCTTAATTTGTTATTGACTTGATAGGGTTTTTTTTCACGGATTTGTTCTTATGTATTATTTTGACATTTGATTACTGATATTACTCAAGTTGAATATAATTTTTGGAATGCAAAAGTTGAGACATATATCCTTTTATTACAGGAATCAGCATATTATAGTCATAGTATAATTAAAGACACAAATAAGTTCAGAAATAACAGGCTGTAGTCATCAAGCTCTACCCTTGAAAATAAAGGATGCTGGCCTTATCCTTTGCATGCTTTTAGAATTAACTAATCTTTTGTTCAAAGGTGATATTTCTGCTCCTGGCAAGAAACTATTTTTAGTAAGTAGATGCAGAATCAGCCTTCACATTTATCCTAAAATAGAAAGTATAATTATTGTTTACATGATTCAAAAATAATAACCTTTTACAGGTTGAAAAACAGAATATTCTGGTTTAAAACTAAGCATTCTTCAAGCTGAGTTTGATTTCTCTTGACTACATAAATATGTTCATGCAGTCTTCTCACAAGCTGCAGAGAAGTGGCTTGTAATTGCAGACTTCTGGGATGTTTCTTCTCCCCCCACCTCCCCAATTTTCCAGTCTAGCACAGAGTCCTGTTATTCCTTGGAGTCGCAACATTATAAAGTTTACATGCCCCTGGACTCGAAGTGATTGTGCTTAATTCTGCTGAAAATTATTTTAAAAAATATGTATTTCTAATTGAGACAGAATATTAATAGTGCCTAATTACTTTTATTTAAACTGAAAGGTCAATTCAATTAAACCAAAGCAAATTTAGGGCCTGGCTGGAACCTATCTTCTTTTTAGGGTCTGGCTCCAGCAAAGCATTCACAACATGGATATTGCCTTTGTTCCCCCCAAAATAGGCATTTCCTGGGCTGTCATGTGAACGAATATTTAGCATAGTTGTCTATAATAGGGCCTGCACACATTTTGAAAGTAAATTCCTATAGATAAGCAAAAATCAGATGCCTGCTACAGTTCAACTCTGTATTCCAATCCACTTTAGCAACATCTGTTTTTCTACTTCTTATTTTAGGCCTACTATTATAGTTCAGCATCCCAGATCAATGGAGTTGAAATGAATGGAGATTTTTGCCAGTTGCAGGAAGCTATCATTTCAAAGTATCGACTTGATGACAGAATAAAGGTGAACTAATACATTTGATTTCTTGGTTTATGTATGGAAAGGCTGCAGGTTAGCATAATGCTTTTTATTAGAAATGCAATATTGAAGAAATCTTGTAGCTATCCAAATCTTTTGTCTACCTAAGTTCTTGGAAGGACAATTCCTGTACAGTAAAGAAAACACCCAGCATTTTTTTAATTTTCAGGTGCTACACTTCCCATGTATTGGCTTATCATTCTGATAATTCTGTAAGGAAGCAAGTTTCCACACTACTGTACATTCTTATGTCAGTGTTGCAGATATGGAATTGAGGAGAAATTGAAGCCAAGAATGAACAACTTCCTTAACATTCATGGCCAAGATGAGAAATTTCTGATTCCTACCTAAATTCTTATCTATAATTTGATACCATCTCATATGAATATAGAAGTATGGATTTTGATATTTTGCAATAACTTTAATCTTACAACCTTCCTTATAAGAACATTAAGTGAGCGTGTTGGGTTGAGGCAGTACTGGAGAGCCAAGCTCAGCAAGAGTACTTCTACCATATCCCTGAAGTGCTTTGGGGTATATGCATTGTACTAAAGGAATACCAAGTAATCAGTGGTGGGATTCAATTTTTTTTACTACCAGTTCTGTGGGCATGGCTTGGTTGGCGTGGTGTGGCTTGGTGAGCGTGGCTTGGTGCAGTGGTCGCCAACCGGTGGGCCACGGCCCACTGGTGAGCCGTGTGAAAATTTTGGTGGGCCGCAGAGAAATCTCACCCCAAGAGCACCCCCCAAAAGAATTAATTCAGGCTGCGCAGAAACACAAGTGCCTGTGTCGCCCACATGGCCTGCAGGAACCCTCCCTGCCTACTCACTCCTTACCCGGTAAACTTGCCTGCTAAATTTCTATTTTTCCTTTTTCTGACCATCATCTGTTCTCTATGCCGGGAGATTTACATTAGCTAGGAAGCAGAAAATGGTTGGATTTCTTTCTTTCCAGCGAGTGTTTAGATCTTCAGCTCTGCTTTTAAGTACAGCCGAACCTCCCTTAGGACTGAAGTTTTACTTGCAAGCAAATTCAGTGCAGACTCACGGCAAGCAAATTTGAGAGACTGAGCTAGCCGATAGCAGATAGACAGACAGATAGATAGATAGATCATTGAATGATTCTGTGAGCAACTCAATCCGCCTGCTTTGCCTGATTTTGGGTAAAAGTTGCTCTTTTTTAATAAAAAAATCAATATTTATATGCATGGGGTGTTGTGAGTTAATTTTGTAAGTTTGCTTGCTAGCAAATTTTATGAGTTTGCTTGCGAGCAAATTTTATGTGACAGACTGAGCTAGCCGATGGCAGATAGATCTCTGAATGAATCTGTGATTCTGTGAGCAACTCAATCTGCCTGCCTGCTTTGCCTGATTTTGGGTAAAAGTTGTTTTATAAAAAAAATTCAATATTTATATAAATATATTTACATACAAGCCATGCCCAGCCAGTCACATGACCACCAAGCCACACCCACAAATTAGGCCACACCCACAGAACCAGTTAGTGGTCCCTGGGATCTAAAATTATGAGTTTGGTGGTCCCTGAGGTCCAAAAGGTTGGTGACCCCTGGCTTGGTGGGCATGGCAGGGGAAGGATATGTTGCAAAATCTCCATTCCCACCTGACTCCAGGGGAAAGGATACTGCAAAATCCCATTCCCTCCCCACCCCACTAACCTGCTTTCCAGCTTCTTTTTCCTGCCCAGGTCAACCAAAGACCCAGCCCATCAGCTGGGACTTGGGGGCGGGACCAGTCAGAGGCGGTATTTGCTGTTTCTCCGAACTACTCAAAATTTCCACAACCGGTTCTCCAGAACTGGTCAGAACCTGCTGAATACCACCTCTGCAAGCAATGAAATAGCAGCAGGTTCCATTTTAAACAATGTTCATAATATGGTTATCTTGGAAGCAAAGTACAGGCTTAGTTCAGCTACTTGAGAAGCAGACAAGAAGTTCCCTCATCACTTCAACTTCAACAGATTTGTTTTACTAAGCATAGGCTAACAGAGAGACAGACACTGGGTCTGTGTACAGAGAGACCGTTCTTATTATCTGTGTCTTACCATTTTCCTTATTGACAAAACACTCCCAAGTTAAAGAAACAGGGAATCTCCAACAAGCAGACTTCATTTCTCTGGTCACCTTCAGTTCTGTTTCATACTTATGCCACGGTGTATCTCACAGCTTGCTTACTACATAATTTTTAATTTCTTTATAATACAATGATAAGATTAATCACAATCTGTGATATTGGAACAATTATTTTCTAATGGATTGATCAAGAGATGAGTCATGTGTAGTGATGTAAGACTAATAGAAGGATCAGAACTAGATGGTTTTCCTTAATTGGAACAATTTTTAACAATCTTAAATATTATCACATGGTTTTTCATTTGAACCTCTGAAAAATCATTTCTCTTTAGGTGATTAATGCAGATATTTGTACTCAAGCTTCACTTCTTCAAAATGCAGACATTGTTGTAATGAATAATGTCTTTGAATATTTCCTTGACAGATCAGAACAGGCTAGGTAAGTTCTCTTTGTTCTGGAAATTTCTAGAAACACTGTCTAACACCCAACCAATCATGCATATGTTATTGTTCTTTAAAATCCAAGCCAGTATATAAAAATATAATTGTGAAAACTGCTATATATTCCTTTGTGCTTTTTCGGGATGCAAAAACATTCCAATTAAAGACAGCTGAATAAAAAAGCTTGTGAAACCTATCATTTCCCTCTTGCTAAGGCTAAAACTGGAAACTTAGACACATGCCGAATCCAATTATTTTATTTTTTTATTAAATTTGTAATTTATTAAATTTCTCTCTACCAAGTGAAACTACAGTAGTTTGGGCAAAATGAAAATCTGTCAAAGATCAGCTTGCCTTTTAAAATACATTTTGAAAGCATTCTCACGCTTGATGAACCTCAAGAGCATGAAACATGATTTTCATGCTGTGGGTAGTTGTAGTGTAAATTATGTAAGGTTACCTGCTGTTTCAATGTGCTTGATTTATTTTATTTGCTCTATTATACAAAAATAAATATTTTAAAAGACATCAAACAGAAAAAGAAAAGAAAATGAGAAGAGATTAAAGTAGTTTATCAGTGTGGAAATAGGAAATAGGTCACATGTATAGTTTTAACAAAGGAAACGGAAAAAGGTTAAATTAACCAACATGATACACTTCAATCACCATCAACCATATTAAGTAACAATTCTTGAAGAGATGATCCAAATACACCTGAAAGATTGAGAAAAGCTTCCATTCTTTTACTGAAAATTTCTGAACTAACTTGCTGATATAGTGAAAAAAATGTTCCAAGCCATAATTCATTTCAAAGTATCATTAGATGAATGATCCTCACCATTTTTTTCAATAAAGAGAATAGGGAGCATTATTTAACAGAACATTTTATAGAAAAAAAATATGAATAAAACTTTTAAGGTTATTCCAAGTGTTCTGTAAAATAATGTGCTATGTCTAACATTACATGACCTGCATCTACTTGCTATGCTACCACTCCCATATCGGATTCAGTGCCATCAAAGATCCCCTATTCCTCCCAAATAGATCTGAAATTCTCTATATGGGGAAATAAAGAAGAATTTGTTCATTGTCAAATGCTGCCCCATTAGTGGAATAACACAGTTGGATAGAATCCTGTATCTTTACCAAACAGGAAGATCCCTCTTTATTACCATAAAGTGCTTGTATAATTTCATACTACAAAATAAATCTGTAGATGTGTAAGAAATAGAATCCAGTACAAGTTCCAACTTGATTCTCTGGTTCCCAATAAGCTATGATATTCTAGCAGGTTAAGTTACTGTTCCCATATTATTCAGCCTGTATAGGTCTTTTCTTTTTCAGTCAGGTCAGGCAAAGTCTTTCAAACATTTAGAAACTGCCCATTTCCCTCACAGAACAACTGTTGGGTGGTATCTTGAATTGTTTCATTTGGCATAATTTTGGGGGAGCTGCTTGATAAGAAATTTATTTTGTTTTACTCCTAGAGCATGGAAAATCATAAGTCAAAATGTAAGAAAACCAGGGTCTTTATTAGTGACTGTCCCAAACCTTGAAAAGTCTCTCTCAGAGCTTCAGGTATAAAGAGCTATTTTTCAAACTATTTACATGGCAAGATTTTCCTTGTGTGTGTTTTAGGTAAATCATGAATTATTGTTGCTGAATCATGTTCTATTGATAAATATTTGCACACTTTTTTCTGTCTTGGAAGTGACTTCATTACAATGAATTTAGGAGATTGATCATGGGAGATGCTTTGTGATTGTGCCATCTGACTTAATCTTTCACACGTTTGCAACTCAGTAAACAATTTCAGCAGGGAGAAAAATGAAAAGAGCAATCTTTTTCAACACTCCAGAAATCTCAAACTTTAATTGGTAGGAAAATCAAGGGAATTATTTTATCAGAATTGGGAAAAGCACATTTCTAAAACTTTATAAAATTTCCTCCCTGAAACTTATTCACCACAGAAAGCTGATATTGTCACTTAAAAAATTATTATTCTCTGTGATTAGAATATATTTCTAAATTTTATTGGAAATCTCACTTGTATTTTCTTCTCCTTTTTAACTGATTTGCTTATACAGAAACACATCATTGTAAGATATAGAAGTATATTTATGTAGGTATTACCTAATCACATTTTGCAAAAAATGAGATATCTCATTTTTAGATATTATTTTTAGATGTTACTAGATGTTATTTTGCTTACGTACCTTAAGCAGTTCTGAGATTTATGTATTATTTTATGTATTGTAGTGAATTGTTTTAATTTCTTTTCAGGTGGACATTCAGCTCAGCCAGTGGGTAGAAGCAGTACCAGTGCAATATGATGGATTCTTAGAAGATGCTGATAGAGAAGCACTTGAAAAAATTTATTTGTACAGAATTCTATAGCATACAAAATATGTACATTCTCATCAAGTGCTTTTTAAATAAAAAAGAACATTTTAAAGAAAGAAATAATGTTGCAGTTTGTTAAACTTTGTGTTAAAATCTGCCTTTGAAAATAATATAGAAAATCAGAGATGTATTTTTGATTAAATAAACATGAAGGCATTAAAAAATTCTCCTTGGTTTATTTCTAGTGAGAATGCTAATTAAAGAACTGCAAATGCTGTATTTGCCATACATTATAACATCTTGTTCCTTCTCTGGACTAGTTTCATTTATATTTTTTCTTTGCACAAACATTTTTGTGGGACATCAGTCATACAATTGTTCCAGGGCTTATTTTTTGGCTACATGAGGTACATGTTTTCTGTAGAACATGCATCTTTGATTAATTTCTGAACTGCGCCTAATTTTAAATACCAGTTTGCCAAAACCAGTGCGAACCAGCAGCCAACCTCTGCCCTAACCTACCAGAAAAAAAGAACATGCTGCTAGTGATAAATAGTTTCTATTGATTAATCATTTCTTCTTAATTATGACTATATACTTTTATAAATAAATCATTTCTTTGGCTTAATCAAAACAAAGGAGAGGTAAAAACTCCTGCCCAATGATTGTCGTTCAAGCTATATATAATAATATATTTCTTGAAATCCTTATTTCTTTTTATTTTATACATTGTTTTTCTTTACGATCTATCCATTCGTACCATTTGTCCCAGATCCGATAATATTCTGCATCATCTTTCTTTTTTAATTTCAATGTAAGCTTTTCCATTTCCGCACATTGGTATATTTTCTGAATGACAAAATATAGAGGTGGTACTTTGGGGTTTTTCCAGTAGTATGCCAGTGAAATTCATGTCACTGTTAAGATATGGATAATTAAGTATCTTACTCTGAGTGGGTAATCCCTTTTGCATATGCCCAGGAGAAACAATTCCGGTTTCCACTCCAATCTATCCTGGATTATCTCTTCTATCCATACTTTAATCCTAATCCAAAATTTCTTAATTTCTGGACATTTCCACCAGAGATGGAAGAAAGTACCATTATTTCCCTTACATTTCCAACAGGTTGGATTTACTGTTGGGTACATTTTTGCCAATCTAGAGGGTGCCAGATGCCATCTATATAACATTTTGTATACATTTTCTTTATAGGATACTGATTTTGTTAATGTAAAGTTCTTATAATCTCCCGATCATCTAAATTTATATTATAACCATTTTTTTCCCAAGCTATCATCACTTCTTTCACAATTTCCTCGGCTAGATCAAATTCTATTAAATAATTATATAGTTTGGATATCATATTTTTTTCTTGGCCCAGGAGGATTTTATCCAATTGTGTATTTTTTTATTTTTAATCCAAATTCTTTTGCATCTCTGTCATATCTCATAGCTACTTGAAGACCACCGATCAATAGATAGTCCTTGGGCTTCTCATTCATAAATCAATTTATGTTTCCTTTCCTTATTTAGTATTTGATGGTATTTAAGTTTTTTACTAATGTCCATTGTATTGGGATGGAACATTGCCTCCACTGTTGATAACCATGTTGGGATTTTAGTATAGTGGTTATTCCTAATACCTGACCAAGTTTTTAGCAGAGATTTTCGAAGGGTATGCCTCTGGAAATATGTGTGGCTTTTAAAATTCGGATTCCACAAAAAGGCATGCCACCCTATTTGCAGGTCGTGACCTTCTAATATTAAAACTCTTTTATTTTCCATTTTAATCCAGTCTTTTATCCAAACTAATGACGCCCCTTTATAATTGGTCTCCCAGGCAGGAAGTCCAAAGCCACCTCTGGTTTTATTATCTTATAAATAACACTTTTTAATTCTTGCTTTTTTACCAGCCCAAATAAATTTCATAGTAATCTTATCCAAATCTTTAAAGAATTTTTTATCTAATTGTATAGGGATTGTTTGAAATAAATATAATAATTTAAGTAGGACATTCATCTTGATAGTGGCAATTCTGCCTAGTAATGAAATTTGCATTTTATTCCAATTTTCCAGATTTCTACTAATTTGTTGTAGCAATTTTGTATAATTATCTTCCTGCAGAGTTGAAGTTTTGGATCTTAACCAAATGCCTAAATATTTGATCTTATAATTTGTAATCCCATTATTCTAATTCTTTTTGTTTGTTTTCTGTTAGGTTTTTAACTAACATTTTAGTCTTTTCTTTGTTAATTTTCAACCCTGCTAATTTGCTAAATTTATCTATTTCCCTTAGTAATATTGGTCCTGAGTCAATTGGGTCTTCTATAATAAATATCATGTCGTCTGCAAATGCCTGTAATTTGTATTCTTGGCTTTTAATCTTTGTTCCTTTAATTTCTTTGTTTAATCTAATTCTATCCAGTAATGTTTCTAGTACTGTTATAAAAAGCAGAGGTGACAATAGGCATCCCTGCCTGACCTCTTTCTTTATCTCAAATGAATTAGTAAAATCGCCATTTATCATTACCCTAGCCTTTTGTGTGGAATAAATTGAATTTAGTATTTTTACAAAGTTATCCCCAAATTCCATCAAGTTAATCTGCTTTTTCATAAAATCCCAACTGAGGTTATCAAAAGCCTTTTGCGCATCCAGGAAAATCATGTCAAGTTGACTTCCTGGATGCAATTCATAATACTCTAATATATCAATTATGATTCTTGTATTATATCTGATTTGTCTCACGGGGAGAAATCCATTTTGGTCTGGGTGAATCCTATCGTTAAGAATTTTCTTCAGTCTTTCTGCCATCAATCTATAATCTTTCAGGGCTTCTATTTTCACTATCATCACAGAAAATTGTTTCCATGGTGACTTTGTCATAAAAGATTGAAATTTTAAATGCAAGTACCATATATATTTTCAACAATAGATTTTCTTCTTTGCATTTTCCTCCATGTTCAGACCTTGCTTAATTTTGGATCAACCAAACATGAACCATCAGTTGTGACAGGAATTAACTTACCAACTTGTTATATTATGGGTTGACAGTGATTAGTCTGAAGTCATCCAGATGACTTTCATGACTAAGGCAGGACTTGAACTCTAACTACTAGACAAAACTGGTTGTCCATTGCCAGCAATAGCTGAATTGTAAGTCGCCCAGAATCATTCCTTGAGATGATAGATAGATAGATAGATAGATAGATAGATAGATAGATAGATAGAT